TTGGTAGGGTGGAGGGTCGACGAAAGAGGGGAAGGCCTTCAGCGAGATGGATTGACATGGTGGCTGTGATGATGGGCTCACTTATAGCTGGGATCATGGAGCTGGCGCAAGTTCGGGCAGTGTTTCATTCTGCTGTGCATGGGGTCGCTATGAGTTGGAAACGACTTGACAGCACCTAACAACAACAACAACAGCTCACTGTTTTTCTTTTTTTTTTTTTTTATTGTGATTTTGCTGAAAATTTACAGAGCAAATTCACTTTCCATACAGCAGTTCACATACACTTTGTCTCATGACATTTACCACTATTTACCACAATTCAACAGCTCCCCTCCCACTTCCTCCAAATAGTTACCTCTTCCCTGTGTCCATCCTTCCCTGCACTCCTTCCCCCTGAGCTGTCTCCCTGTGCATAAGCAGCCCTTCTTTCTCCCATGATTGTTCTCTCCAAGTTCACTATTTTTCTATCGTTTTTCATGTAGAAGAATTTTAGCACCTGGTGAAGAAGAGAATTTAGAATTTGAAGAAGATGAAGAAGAGGGTGGTGCTGGAGCAGGGTCTCCTGATTCCTTTCCTGCTAGAGTTCCTGGTAGGTATCATTTATTAAAAATATACTTCACTTAGTTCAGGGCCAAGGTGCTTGGAGTGTATCTTGGTACTTGCTACTGGGGAGTAAAACCTCTCCACAGACTGAATGCTTTAAGAATTTAAAAAGATTTTTCATGACCATGTTATTGGCAGTAGCTATTTTATAAGCATAGTCTCAAAGTGTCTAAATGTTTTAGAAGGTCCCCTACACCACTTCCAGGTTTGTTAATTCCCAAGGAGGGGTCACAGGACTCAGCATAAAGCCACATTTATAGCTATGATTTATTACTGAGAAAAAATATAAAGCAACATCAGCAAAGAGAAGGAGCATGGAACGAAGCCCAGAGGAAACCAAGTGCAAGCTTCTGAGAGGCTTCTCCCAGTGGAGTCACACAGGATGTGCTTAATTTCTCCAGCAACAAGTTGTGATAACACATGTGAAAGTTGTTTACGAGGGAAGCTTGTTAAATATGTAATGCCCAGAGTATTTACTGCTCACATTGGATCGGGAGACCTGGTGATGCAGTGGTTAAGCACTTGGTTGCTAACTGAAAGATCAGCAGTTCAAACCCACTTACCATTCCACAGGATAAAATGTGGAGGTCTGCTTCTATAAAGATATAGCTTTGGAAACTCTGTGGGGCATTTCTACTCTGTCCTATAGGGTCACTATGAGTTGGAATCAACTTGGTGACAAGGGTTTAGTATTTGGTTTTTTTGGTCACATAGATAACCTCTGCCTAGTACCTACCAAATTCAGGATCCCCAGAAGGAAAGCAGGTGTTCAGCAAAACCATATTGTTAGCACAAACTTTTTAGGCACAGTAAGCCATTCTTATCAGGGAATGGTGGGAACTCTCCCAGAATTCTAGATCCCAGATGTCAGCTGGCTTTTCTAAGAAAAACAGTCTCAGGCCTACTGTGTTAACTCTTTTCTGTACACTATCATAAATACTTTTTAACTGATCAAATTGTGAGTAAAATTAGACCCAGGGAAAAATTATCCTTTTTCTTCCATCTTGTGCAAAAAATATATGGGAAGCCTTTTTTAATTGGCAGCAGATTTTAGTGATGCTACTTTTCTTTTGTAAATAACAGACAAGCACCCTTTGTTGCTTTCCCAGCAAACTTTGTTGCTTTCCCAATCACTGCTTTACTCTATGTTCTGTTCTTGTACAGTACAGTTTTCACTTCCAGTAAACTAGCATACTTTAGAAAGTATAGCAATATGTTGTGATATTGTGATGCATTTTATAGTAGACTAGAAGCTTTGCAGTACAGTTTATGGGTAATCCATACCACTTTCTTGGTAATGATAGTAAATATAACATTCTTGTATTTTTAGTACCCATTGGGGGAGGAGGATTATGGAGTAAGAAAAACATAGGCTTGGACCAACAGATATCTGAGCATGATTCTAGGCTCTGTCAGTCATTAGTTGGGTGACATACTTTGCAACTGTTTCTTAATCTTAAACTCATTTTTTAAAAAATTGTACAATACAATAATAATAGTTACTACCTCACAAGGTTATTGTGAAGATTTTACAAAGTACTACATAGGTACCAGTTAGCATGGTATCTTTCATAATGCCAAATATTAGTGGTGATTATTATGCTTATCATTATCACCTTTAATGGGGAATAATACCTCATTACATCATAGGAGTTTTTTGGAAAATTATAGGCACTGTATAGAGATGGTAGCTGTTAATTGTTAGTTATGTTTCTCTAATAGAAGGGCATTATTTGGAATGTACTTGTGCCTAAGGCGTTTGACTGCTAAGCAGAAGGTTGATGGTTCAAACCCACCAGCCAGTCTGCAGAAGGAAGATTGGGCAATCTACTTCTGTAAGGATTTACTGCCTCAGAAACCCAAAGGGGGGTCACTATGAGTCAGAATCGACTCGATGGCAGTGAGTTTGGTTTTTTAGTTTTTTTGTTTTTACTTTATAAAGAAAAAGCTTCATGTTCCTTGCTGAAGTTGTAGGTGTAGGAAATTTCAAGATTGCTGAGATAGTGAAGTAAATTATCTTGCTGTTTCACTGACTATAATTTTTACTTCATTTTTAAGCCACATGTTATAGTTGAGGTAGCTTCAAGTTCCATAAATTTCTGCCTGATTTGGTGGTTTTCTCATTTGCTGTACTTCTGTAGCAAATAAGACTCTTGATACAGATCATGTAAACCATGAAATGGACAGATTAAGATCTTTGTGGAAGTTCAGGTTGCTGAATTGGAAAGAAACTAATACTATAAATTAATCTATTTTTTGTGGAAGGTTAAGACTAAATTGAATAGATTTTTCTATTCTGATAAAGCATTGTGATATTTCATTTCAAAGGTACAGAAAATTTACAGAACTTCTTTTAACTGGATGTCTTTTTCCTAAAGATAAGAAAGAGTATGTGTCATTTAATTAGCTATATTTGGTTTCGAATCATACTGTCTTGTGCCTTTAAGTGTTATTAAAAAATAATTTGTAAAATTCTATTCATTGAAATCATATGTTGTTGAAATAGCAAGATGACATTTACCTGTAATTTAATGATGAAGCCATGGAATTGTTTTATCCTTGTTATTCTGAGGGAACCTAAGATTTCGGTGATGACTAGGCTGTGTCTGATTTTTGGTGGCAGGGTGGTTCTAGGAATTGTTTTGAATTTTTTTTTAAGTCAGGTTTATTGAGGTATTGCTTTCATACATAAACTTCACCCAGCTTAATGTACAGTTTTATAAGTTTTGACAAATACATAGTTTTGTAACTACCACCATAGTTAAGCTAATGAGGTATGAGCTATGGTATGTGGATACTGTATGAGCCAGGATAGTTTTTCCCATTAAAATTAAAAATGACTTTTTAGCCAACTTTTCTCAGAAAAAAAAGTAGTTAAGCTTAGTTTACCTTTCTTGGTATTAATCTGTATTCCTTTTCAAAATATTAAGAATTTATAAAGCAAACAAAATAAATTTCTTTTTAAGTAACTAACATAAACTAAAATGAGATTTAATTTTTCTAAAAGCAGAGTTGATAGATTTCACTTAAATAAAGGATGTAAAATTTAAACTTGTTATTTTTAACCTGAAAATGTATTGGTATTGCTTAAAATAGTAAAGCAACCAGAGCAGTAAAAATAGCTAAGTAAACAATTTTATGTAAGATTTTTTTTAAAAAAAAATTCCTTACTGAGTGATATGATCAAGTTCAACTATAGACTTTAAAAAAAAAAACCAAAAAAATCCACTGCCGTCGAGTCAATTCCAACTCAGAAAGACCCTATAGGACAGCATAGACCTGCTCCATAGGGTTTCAAAGGCTGTAAATCTTTATGGAAGCAGATTGCCTCATCTTTCTCCCATGGAGTGGCTGGTGGGATAAAACCTCCAACCTTTTGGTTGGCAGCCCAATGCTTTAACCACAGTGTCACCAGAACTCCTTAACTTTAACTATAGGCTTGTTGTTACGTGCTGTCAAGTGGGACCTGACTCATAGAAACCCCTCCTTGGGTTTCCGAGGTGGTATCACTACGGAAGTAGATTGCCCAACCTTCCTTCCGAGGAGTGGCTGGTGGGTTTGAACCACCAGCCTTCTGGTTAGCAGTCAAGTGCCTTAGGCATTATGCTACCAGAGCTTCTAACTGTAGGTGTAGCAGTTATAAAATTATTATGTATATATGTTTGTTTCTCAATCTCTTCTATAGGCCTACATATGCATAAAGCATGTTTTTTTTTAAAAAAAATAAAGAAATAAAACTAAAGAATGAAATTTACCTCTTTAATGTGAAATTTGTACTTTAATTTTGCTTCACAAATACTCATTTCTGTGTTGAATTTGAGAGAGAAACAAACATGGATTTAATTTGCAGCTGATGTAAGGCAATTTCTTTTCTTGATCACACATGTAAGAAGTTGAAAATTTCATCAAAATGTTCATTGCTTTCCTATGACTACTCAGGCTTTCTTCTTTCACAGAATTCCTGAATATTGTCTAGGGGCAGAGGGTGGGTGGCATCTGACTGTGTATGGTTAGGCTACAGCTCACAAAGGTCTTCCTCTTCCCTCAAAGTCACGTTCTCAGGCTGAACAGATGAACCAGAGAAAGAGTTCCTCACCCAGGCGTGTATTTGTTCTGGAAAAATGATGTGATTTTCTTCTGCAGTTCTCTTGGCTGATTTTCAGTAAGACTTGAGACCTGCTAATACCTTTCTTCACTCTCACGGTCTTTTCAAAAGATACAATCATTGGTAATTTTCTAAGAAAGGTGCTCCAGTGATGTAGTGGTTAAGGCATTTGGCTCCTAACCAAAACATTGGTGGTTCGAATCTTCCAGCCACACCATGGGACAATGATGCGGCAGTCAGCTTCTGTAGAATGTGCAGCCTTGGAAACCCTATGGGGCAGTTGTACTCTGCCCTAAAGGGTCTCTATGAGTTGGAACTGACTTGATGGCTGTGGCTTTGGTTTTGGGAATTTTCCAAGAAGGCATTGCTTCTTAAACATTCTGAAACAGGAGATAATATACTACTGTTTGAAACAAAGACCATCATGCCATTTCCTGCTTTGAACCAAAAGGAAAATTTTCCTTCTGTTGTGATGTATATTGTAAGCAACAGCAATTTTTTTGAAAAAGCAAAAATAATGGGATGGAAAAAAATATGGCTGTCTTCTGTCTTTGAAGACAGGTCTTAAAGGTTTTCATTGACTTCAGTCTGTGGAACCCCTGTTTTCTTCCGTGATCTTAACAGACTCTTATCCCTGGGACTGGTGGTCCATTCATAATCTGGTTCTCCGTAATCTCTATTGTCCAGAGTGTCTTTGGTCACACAGGGAAAATGATTCAGTGTGAAGAGGTCCTACTATAGGCTAGGATCTTCACTGTTGTCAGCTTCTTCTTGGAACAGAGAAGTTGTAGGTGAGAGTTGAGAGACCACAGATGTTTCTCCCTTTTATGCTGTACAAGTTGCTAGAGGGAGAGTGGTGCTCATCACTGAACAGTGTGGCA